TTGTGGAATCTCCATCTCCGGAGATATTTAAGAGTAGGTTAGATAAATGTCTATCAGGGATGGTCTAGACAGTATTTGGTCCTGCCATGAGGGCAGGGGACTGGACTCGACGACCTCTCGAGGTCCCTTCCAGTCCTAGAATCTATGAATCTATGAATCTAAAGACGTTCTTGCACTGGACGCCAGTGAGTCTTTCTGGGTACCTCGGGTCAAACTCTCCACTGGTGTAAATTGGCACAGCTCCATTATACCAGCAGAGAATTTGGCTCCTTACCTTCCACAGTACAGCACTTAGCTCTGGAATTTAGACACTATGGTGACAAGGGCCATATAAATACCCAAATAGATTTAATGTGGGAATACACAAGGGGGGCGAAAGCCTGGCACTCAATGAGAGCTTGGCCCTGGCAGAGTCTATGGAAGAGCAACCAACTCCATCTTGTGTCTCTCTTATTAGGTAGGAAAGTTAATGGATCATATGTTAAATGTAACTGTATTGTAGATAGTAAGGCTCTTCCTGTGCGGACATGGCACGTGGTTACATAAGACTTGCAATGTCCAATGTTGGCAGTTTTTCTTGGACACGGAATGGGAAGTTCTTCAACGTGGCCAAGGACCCGAAGGTCTCGATGCAACGCAGGTCGGGGACGCTGGTCATCGACTTCCGCGGCGGTGGGAGGCCGGAGGATTATGAGGGGGAATACCAGTGCTCTGCTCGAAACGAGTACGGGACGGCGCTCTCCAGCAAAATCCTCCTGCAGGTTTCCAGTGAGTAATGCAGACTTGTCGCTTCTGTCTCAAGGCTGAGCCAGGCAGTCTACAGCCTCAGGTTGCTGAGTGGCTCTGGTTTGGGTTAAAAAAGATGTTTGCATGACATAGGGTTTGCAGACGCTGGGGAGGAAATATTTGCCACGCAAATGCCACATCTTGCTTCACTTGCAGTATGTGTGTCTGTTTTGTTTTATTAATTCGGCCTTGCAAATGGACTAGAGATGTATAGGGGTAATATCCTGACTAACTTCTAATGGGCCTGTCACTGTGTCATCTGGGTGCATCACACACACAAACATCAGTTTGTAACTGATCACAGTGGATTGCAATCTCAGCTGCTAGAGAAGGCTACATAGTCTGGTGGCTAGGAAGCAGAACAGAGAGTCAAGAGACCTGGGTTCTCTTCCCTTCTGTGCCACTAACCTGCTGTGTGACTGTGCCCAAGTTACTTTGTCTCTCTATGCCCCAGTTTCCCTATATGTAATATAGGGGTAATGACACCCACCTTAGAGAGGGTGTTGTCGTGAAGCTTAATTCATTAGTCATGTTTGTACAACACTTAGAGACCCTCCAATATAAGTAGTTTTTGGAGGAAGAAATATCATTATGGAGCAGGAACACATGGACCCTGCAAGAAACCTGTGTATATAAAAATTAAATTGCATCAGGGCCTTTCCATTGAAACCAGGCCAGGTCCTCGGAGAGTGTGATGTGATTTAAAAAACAAATCTCTCCCAGTATATTCCCTTCAACTCAACGTCCACTATGTGTCTCACATCTTCTGATTACAGGGTCTCCCTTGTGGCCAAAGGAACATTTGGACCTTGTAGAGATCGATGAAGGATCCCCACTGACTTTAAAATGCAACCCACCCCCTGGGCTGCCGCCTCCTGTTGTCTTCTGGATGAGCAGCTGTAAGTTGGAACAGTGGTCGGGTGGCCAGGGCTCCCTGGACCATTCATTTCACTGAGGGAAATCTTTTGACCAATCGCAATATGTATTTTAATGCAGAACTTCAACCTTTCCCCCCCCCCTGTTTTAACTACAGCAGAAGTGGAGCTGATGCTTTCTGGCATAGGCCAAGTGTTCTCAACCTCCTTTTTTGTGTGTGTGTGTGTGTGTGTGTGTGTGTGTGTGTGTGTGTGTGTGTGTGTGTGTGTGTGTGTGTGTGTGTGTGTGTGTGTGTGTGTGT